GTGGTTGTAAATTTGTATGTACCTCTCTTGTTGACGCTATCAATCATTCGCTAGTGTTTTCTGGTCTACTTCATTTTGTCAAGAATTTTGTTTTTTTTCATCCCTTGACAGATCTTTAGATTCCGTTATTACCTTTAGATGTTCTTGTTCATTGATTATCTCCTTCACATCTTGTATTTCCTCAAGCTTCTGTCTTATTTCACTAATTTGTTGTGGCACCTTCTCCATTAACTTGTCATCCATTTCATTTGAATCAACAGTTCTATCCTTTGCAGTATCTGTCAAGAATATGCTTCTTCAAACACTTCTTTTGAATCTAGTAGTTCCTTCCTCTGCAGAGTCCACCTAGAAGACTCTCCATTAATCATGATGTCATCTCCTGCTTTATCGATTCAATCATCTTTTTTTGAGTCATCGATCCAACTATCTTTGCAATCTATTTGTTCAGGGAGGACCACCACAAATGCTGATTCGTACTTTAGACTTGAATTGAATTTCTTCTCTCAAGCTTGCTCAAACAGTGTCTTAGCATCCCATTATTTTCCACTATTCTATTTTCTTCCTTGTTAGAGGTTGCTATATGCCTTTCTCCTAATTTCTTTTTAAACCAGCAGTCTCTAGCATAATGACCTTATTTTCCACACACAAAGCACGAGCCATTAGTTCGTTGATATCCCTTGCCTCTTTTTTCGTGATTTGGTTGAACTCCCCTTGTCTAATAGTTTCCTTCAATTCGTCCTTTAGATTTACGTTCTTTTAATTCTTTATTATTTTGTTGATGAAATTGATCTCTTTTTTTATAGTTGAATAATGCTTCCTCTTCTTTCTTTATCGAAACTCCTAACATTTGTTTGGTCAACGCTTCTTGGTCAGTAAATTTTTGAGATTGACAATGAAAGTTGTTTTGGCCAACCTTGTATAGCGGCAATGAAACCTCTAAATTTGAGTCTATATATATATATCTATATATATGATTATTCGTCTCATTCTAGATTTTGAAATCTTACTCGTGGCATCTAACTTGGAAATTTCACTACAGAGTGATTTCACTTTATTAAAATATTGATTTATCATTTGTTTTCCTAATCTCCTTGAGTGATCAAGAGCGGCTCGTTTTCCATTGATTGCAACCTTAACTCATTTTTCTTTGAGAGCAGTGTGGCCAAAGGTTCACATGTTTCCTTCGGTGTGTTTTTATCCCTTATATATATGCTCCAATAATTCTTCTTCGATTGTTGTCTTATAACGAACATGACATTATCTGCTTTGATTCTCAATTTCTTCATAGCTTCAGTCTTCTCCGATGGTGTCACGTCACTTATACAAACTTCCCATAGACCTGCTCTTGGAAACACGATTCCATGCAAGTTTTCCATGTGGTATAATTTTGATTATTGAACTTCTTTACTTTGCCTACCGCTTGTAGGTTGCCCATCGTGACTTGAATTACCTCATCGTAATCAAGCAAACTTTATAAAAGTTTCACAATTTTTGTGCACTATCTCAAGAAGTCCAAAAAATGTTCCCGACAGCCACTTTGATGCCAAATTGTTGAGTTTAAACCCCAAATAAAATTATTTATTATCACGGAAAATTTACACAATTTAATTGGATAACATAAGAACTACTCAAGAAAGAATCTTGACCTACCACCCAAAAAAAAAAAAAAGAATATCACTCACATAGCAACACCTATATTCTTCACTCGCTATCTCTCACACACCACTGTGGCATTTCTCTCTCACTTCTTTTTTGCTCTCATACACACAAAGTACATGCACTAAATCCATATATATGTGTGTGTGTGTGTGTGTACTTGTGTCGATGGAATTAGGACTTAATTCTAGATTCTTCCCTTATGGCGGTGATCTTTAAATTCAGCAGGTAATGTAAGTCTTCTAGAATTTTCTGTAAATGTCAGTGAATATTGCAGCCATCTAGGACCTTCTCTGTGGAAATTTCTGAGATATAGGAAGCCAAAATGGAATGAAGCACCTCAAATAATCTGGAGATTTCTTCAAAGTTGGTGGTGTCTTGCAGTTGGTGTTTGCTAATTTGAGAATTTATTATTTGCTTCTCCATTAATCTATTTTATGTTTGCTTGCACGTTTGACTTTTAATTGTTTATTTCTTTTATTTTGGATTTGTTAAAACCGGTTATAGTTTTATGTAGTTTTATATTCAACTGAATTAATTTATTATTTTGTCTTGAGACTAATGCCGTAAAGCGGGGGGGGGGGGGGGAAAAACCCCCCCCATATTTTAAAAAAAAATTTTTTATTTTTTTTTTT